AAGTGACCCTGCAGATGATTATGCAAGGAATTCAAAATATTCAAATAAGAACAGAGAATATTGAAAAGAGAACAGAGAACATTGAACAAAGAACAGGAAAAACTGATGAAAAGGTGGAGAACATTCAACAAATTATGAAGTATGATGAGAGATTCAAAAAAATTGAAGAAGATAAACAAAGAGATAAGAAGATTGGAGATATTGATAGCAGATTAACTGTGGTTGAACAAGACAAAAGTGGGATGTTGGGATGGGAGAGGGACAGATCAGAATTTTATCTCAGATTCCAAAACATAGAGGAAGAAAAGGGACAAAACCTAGCTGACATAATGATAGAAATTTTGGCTGAAGCTTTGGAAATAACTAAAGAAAAGATGATGGATGGAATAGACGAGGTTTATCGAGTCTTCACAAGATATGCAATGAGAAATAGCTTACCAAGAGAAATTCACATCAGATTTACAAAGAAAGCCATTAAAATGCAAATATTGCAAGTGGCAAGAGAGAAAACATTGAAATATAAAGACAAGGAGATTGTGGTCTTGAAACAAGCACCCAGAAGAGTGAGAGAGATGAGAAGAGAATACCGATTTCTGACCAAAATGCTACTTAAAAGAGGTGAATTATAGATGCCTGATTCCAGAAGGTTTAATGTTCACATGGCAAGAACAGAGACATAGAATTGACTCAGTTGAGAAAGTGGAATTATTTTACACAGAATATTTTGGAGGGAAAGAGAAAAAGAAATGTCACTAATTGAATTCCAAGAGGACTGCCAAATGGCGACTGAAAAAGAAGAAGGTGCAGCAGGTGGGAAGGTGGAAGTCAAAGAACAACGTGAACCAAGATCTACGAGAGCTGCTAAACCTAACTACAAAATATAATCATGGAAGAGAAAAAACTGATTACAATTAACATAAATGGACTTAACTCAGCTGTTAAAAGAAAGAAAACTTTCCATAAATTAGAGAAATTAAAAATTGATATAATCTGCCTACAAGAAGTACATAACAAAAAGCAACATGAACAATTGCTGATACAGCCAAAACTAGGGAAAATATTTACTTTTTTGACACAATGCAAGAAAAGAGGAGTGGTTTTATACATTAAAAATATTATCCCAGCAAAATTGATCTATACCGATGACGATGGAAGAATACTAATGGTGGAAATAATGGACAATAATATGAAAACACTCCTGATTGCAATCTATGCCCCGAATGACAATCAAGAAGACTTTTATAAAAAAATACAAATGAAAATAATTGAACTGGACTATGCTAATATAGTTATGATGGGAGATTTTAATGGAATTGTAGATAATAAACTGGACTACACAGCACAGAAAACAACAAAGCAAAACAGAAAGACTCTCCCTAAATCTTTTTTTAAAATGATAGATGAAATAAATTTAAAAGATACATGGAGAGAAAGAAATGCTAAGACTAAACAATACATCTTCTATTCAAATAGACATTTATCATGGTCCAGAATAGATATGATATGGATGTCAACAGAATTGTTAGCTAATGTTCAAGAAATAAATATTGAAATAAGTGCTTGGGCAGATCACAATCCAATGACAATTAAATGGAAAGGACAAAGAAGAAGATCCAGATGGACGTTAAATAATACTATATTAAAGGAAAAAGACTTCACACAGTGGATGGAGAAAGAACTGGCTTTCTTCTTTAGAGAAAACAAAAAGGAAGATACATCAATGCAGAATGTATGGGATACTTAGACTAGCCTCTAAGGCATTAGAGGATGAGTATAAAGGACTTGAAAAAGAGCTACAGAAAATGCCACAGAAAAAGGACACTAAGTTAAAAATGGATATAATTAAACATAAAATGGGTCTAATAGATAAAGAAGAATTAGCACAGAAAATCAGAGGTGCGAAACAGAACTACTTTGAAGATGCAAATAAACCAGGTAGATGGTTAGCATATAAATTGAGAAAGGAGAAAGAATCAAGGAAAATATTGCAATTAATAGATGACCAAGGCCAAGTTTGCTATGGTAGTAAAGAGAAGAAGGAAATCATATGAGACTATTATGGGAAACTATATACACAAGAGAATATTGATGAGGAAAGAGTTAAACAGTACTTACAGAATGCTAATCTACCCCAGATACCTAAAGAGATTGAAACAATGTTAGAAAGCAATATAACGATGATGGAGTTAACTGAAGCACTCAAGAAGCAAAACAATGGAAAGGCACCAGGCCCAGATGGACTTCCGGCAGAATTTTATAAAACACTACAAGAATTGTTGAACCTTTCATTGCTAGAAGTTATGAATGAAGTTATGTTAAAGAAGAAGATACCCAAATCATGGTCAGAAGCTTATATTACACTTGTCCCAAAAGAGGAGGACGATCCATTACAAATCAAGAACAATAGACCTATTTCCTTACTAAACACAGATTATAAAAAGTTTTGCTTCAATATTGGCAGAAAGACTTTAAAAATACTTAAACAATTTTATTCATCCTGATCAAAATGGATTTCTACCAAAGAGACAAATTTAAGACAATATGAGAGTAATCTTGGACACTTTGGAATACTACGAGGCACACTCTGAAAAACAAATGGCTTTGATATTTCTAGATGCACAGAAGGCATTTGATAATGTGAATTGGCGATTCATGTTATTACAACTGGAACAGATGGGCTTTGCTAAAAAAATTATTCAAGCAAGAGAAGCTATATATCATAAGCAAACGGCAAAGATAATGATAGAGGGAGAATTGACAGACTCTATTGATATAAGAAAAGGAACAAGACAAGGGTGCCCACTATCACCTCTGTTGTTTGTGTTAACCTTGGAAGTGCTAAACAGAAATATTAGAGAAGAAAAGGATATAAAGGGGATGAAAATTAAAAAGGAAGAATTTAAGTTGCAAGCATTCGCAGATGATCTGGTTTTCATTTTAGAAGACCCACTAGAAACAGCATCAAAATAGATAGAAAAGATAGAGGCATATGGAAAGGTGGCTGGTTTGAAAATAAATAAAGATAAGACAAAGATCTTGATGAAGAATATGCTATCAAGACAAAAGGAAGAACTGGCGGATCTATTGAAAATTCAGGTCACAAATAAGATCAAGTACTTAGGGATACATTTGACAGCAAGATGTAGTACACTAAAAGAGAATAATTATATCAAACTTAAGCAGCAGATAGCACTAGATTTGGCAAAATGGGAAAATTTACAACTGTCATTAATAGGGAGAATATCAACAATCAAGATGAATATATTACCCAGAATTTTATATTTTTTTCAAACAATTCCAGTTAGGCTTGGAAAAGATTATTTTGAAGATTTAAATAAAATTGTGCTGAAATATATATGACAAGGTAAGAAAGCAAGAATAAAGTTAAAACTTTTGCAAGATGCTAGAATAAGAGGAGGATTTGGTTTGCCTAATTGGGAGTTGTATTACCAAGCTATAAATTTGATGTGGGTTAAGGAATGGATAACATTAAGAAATACTAGATTGTTGACATTAAAAGGACATGATCTGTTGTTGGGGTGGCATGCTTTTCTATGGTATAAAGGAACTAAAACACAGGGGTATTTTAGAAGACATTATATACGGAAGTCTCTGGGTTAAACTGGGAGAAGACTAAAAGACAATGTTATTTGAAAATTCCAGTCTGGCTATCGACTATTGAAGCATTTTCTTATCCTATAATCTATAAAAAGGAACAAACAGATATGGTGAAATATTGAATGAAAAGGATGAACTTAAATCTATGCAAAAATTAGAGGAACAAGGTATAAAGATGAATTGGTTTTCATATGCACAAATACATTCAAGGTATGATAAAGATTCTAAAACAGAAGGTTTTTATGATAAACTGACTGATTTAGATAAGATTTTGACAGGTACTGATGAAAAAGTGATAAAAAAATTGTATGGATATTTATTAGAAATTAAACTAGAAGAAGAACAAGTTAAAGAAACAATGATTGCTTGGGGGAAGAATTTTGGATATGGGATTGATCTAGAGAAATGGCAAAAATTGTGGTCTCAAAATTATAAAATGACAATGTCATCAGCATATAAAGAAAATTTGTATAAATTTGTATTTGTTTTACAGGTGGCATTTTCCACCAACAAGAATAGCAAGAATGTTCAAGAACAAATCTGAAAAATGTTGGAAATGTCATCAGACACCTGGCTCATATTACCATATGTGGTGGACTTGTGCGGATGCTAAGCAATATTGGACTAAAATCCGCACGTTGTTGGAAAAAATGACAAAAAAGCATGTAGACTTGAAACCAGAGATATTTTTATTGGGAATTTTACCTGAAATATATAGTAAATAATTGAAATACCTGATTGTAAATGTATTAACAGTGGCTAGGATTGTATTTGCCAAAAACTGGAAAAATGAGAAAATACCATTACAGGAGGAAATCATTAAGAAAATATTGGAATGTGCTGAAATGAGTAGATTGACATTTGAAATCAGAGAACAAGATGATAAACAATTTTATAAAATTTGGGATCTATTCTATCAATGGTTAAACAATAAAACATGGTAATGAAATATGTAGATTCTTAGAAAATAATAAATATATAAAGATGTATTCTTTTCTTATTATATCTACAAAATGATTGTAGGATAGATTTGAGATGATAATATGAACTGTCATACAACAAATTAAGTAAAATATGGATTATTTTGTAAAACATGAAAGAATAAAAGTATAGTCAAATAATTGATTAACAATGATATTAATGTATTTAATATTTGATTGAAAATATGAGAATATATACAATGTAATTGTAATTGAAGACTATGAAATGGAAGCACAAAACAATTTGTAAACCAACCGACACACTGTATGTATGGAAGATGGCTTGATGTTTTTATGTTTTGTTTGTCTATGTTTATCTTAAAAACCAATCAAAATTTTAAAAAAAGAAAGAAATAAATAAAGACCATACAACCAAGTCCATTTCATCCATGTGATGTATTGTACCTTCCCCCAAATATGACATAGTTCTTCCAAAGTTTTTTTATTGCAACAAGGATACTATCTAAGTCTACTCATTGGCCTAATCATACATTCTGGCTCCATTCCAATTTGTATGCACAAGATCGATCAGAAATATAGATGCAGGATAGTGTTTCTGACTCATGATTTTCTTTCAAAGTAAAACAGGATGTTTTGAGGTCCTTCTTTTTGACTCAAACCAATAGGCTTTTTTGCTTCTAAAGAAGTGCTGAGGAACCAACCCGGAAACTCTGCAGATTCAAAAGAGCAGGTATCAGCGTTGTCTGCACTCTTACTATAAAAAGTGAAAGCTTTGGTGTTTTTTGGATCCCTATAAAGATCCATAATATCTTTCTCCTAGGGAAAAAGGGGAGAGACCATGAGAAAGAAGTTATGTAGGAACAGGTCAACCTGGTTGCAAGTTGCATAAATGATCATTAGCAGCCCCTTAGAAGATTTCTATGGTTTATCGAGATGGAATTCATGTTTTCCTTTTTTACATATAAAATAACACAAGTCAGCCATTAAATTTTATTTAATGTCTAAGTGTTCAAAAAGAGATTCTATCTATGAGGGGTCCTTGGAGCTCTCTGAGCTTGCTTGTTTTATTGCAGATGTTTCATTACCCAAACTAGGTAACATCATCAGTGCTAGTCTAGGGTAATGAAATGTTGTCATGCCCCTGTCAGACTCTGAATTCGAGGAGGAAGATGAACAGCTGACAGTGAGCAGGAGTGTGGCTCGTTGGCTGTGGAGGAAACTGGGGAAGGGCAAAGTCTGGCTGGGCAGAGCAGGGAAGAGATAGAACAAGGGAGAGAGAGTTCAGAGGAAGACCCAGGCCCATCCCCTCTTCAGAAGAGAGCAACATGGGTTGTGTGGCTTACGGGGGAGGAAAGGGCCCTGATTTCCTTCATTGGCCACACCTGGAAATGAGAGTTTAAAAGAAATGCATGCTGAGTATGGCAGCTGCTAGGAGCCAACATGAGTTTATCTTGTGTTGACTTTAGTTATCTGTGTTCCTGGCATCTTCCCAACCATGTTGAGTTATTGCCATGCCTTCACGTCTGGAATTCTTGCTCCTGCCCTGCCGAACTAATTACCTCATTTTGCCTTCATTGGACTTATAGTTACAATTTTTGTTGACCACGTTTTGGACTTGATTCTCTGCAGCCAAAGGCTGTTCCTGGGAGAGTTTTTCTCCAGCCAGAAGGTAACCAGGACATTGGGGGCAAAGTTGGAGCTAATAGAGGGACTCCTACTGATTATCTGACTGTGTTGCCTTGGTGTCATGCCCCGGGTCATCACAAATGTTTGCAAGAAAACAAGCAAGCTCAGAGAGCACCAAGCCCCCCCACCAAAGTTACATTCTCTTGCAAAAGCAAAAATGAAAAACACTTTTAGCAATCTTGTCAAGAGAAACTACATATCAAGAAACATATAAAATATGATCAATCAGTAAGTGTGTCATTAGGATTCTCTATAACAAGTGAGCCAATGAAAAGGAATCATTGCCAGGTAAATTATGGCCCCATCTTAGGTTTGTTATTTTATTCCATCAGCTAAAGCTTCTAGAAATCTTCCTAATATATAATAATAGTACAGAATATATCTCTGAGAATAAAAGGTTAAATAAAAAGGACAATTTCCCTAGAGAAAGTAAAATATGTTTATAAAGCAAATCAAAAACTCACTTTTAACTCTATCTGATATTGGCCATTCCCAGACTTAACACAAGACAAGCAGCTCTTCTTATTTTCAGGGCCCATAAATATGGGTTTTTGTGCTGTATCTAGAGCTTTATTAGGAAGCACGGCAATTAACTGCTCTGGAGAAGAATAAAAAACAAGATCAAGGAGTTAAGAAAGAACAAAAAGGGTTTTATTTTCTGTTGCTGGAGATGTTTGGGATGAGGAATCACAGGTATCTGATTAAGGATATGATTTATAAAAGCAAAAGGCCTCTGGGAAAAATATAATCCCTCATATCAGTGGAATGATTTGCAATGGGAGGGACTGAAGCTCATCAGAAGGTAATTTAGTGATCTTCAACCAATTTTGGCTAGTTTTGTTATATTGAGAACTGGACAAAATTTTGCTGAGCCTGTATATATCAACCACCGCCACCCCCCAAATAATTCACATTTCCACTTAGTTAACTTAGATATTTATATACACTGATATTGTGGAGTTGAAACTGGATAGCTTCCTAGTTTGATATCTGTCATAGTAGTTTAGCTTCATCTCTTTTCTAGGCTGCTGGTCAGTTTTACAAACAAAACATTGGGCTAAAGTCAATCACTGTGCTTTATTCTAACAATATCTAAGACTAATAAAGGAGAATATTTGTAGCTCAGGATTGACACGATGCTCTCTAAGTTTGCTTGTTTTCTTGCAGATGTTTCATTACCCAGACTAGGTAACATCATCAGTGCTAGAGGGGAATGTTAGAGAGGAACTGTCAGATCCGTGTAGCTGCCATTCTTTAATGGAAGAAGAAGTGGGGAGGGAAGTTGGTAAAATAAATTCTTTTTTGATGTAACTTGAATATATTACATCTTATACTAAATTTGTATAACCTACACTTGAGAGACTGAAACCAGATGCCCTGGAAACCTGTCACCTCTGGAAGAGACAGAGAAAAGAGAAGGGACCATAAAAATTCCAGCTGGGAGATGTTTCCTGGGAAACCCTTCAGAAGTTCGTTCTCAGAAGAGGGGAGGGGGAATTAACATGTTGATTCTTTGTTTTACAAAATACACATCAAGATAAGGGGAGGGGTCCTAAACTTATCTATCACCGCATGCCTGGAAGACGTTAGATGCTGCTTTTGAATCCCCACTTGAATTGTCTCATCTCAATAAAGGATTCCTTTTGAATTACCTAGATTTCAGAAGTTCATTCTTGTCAATTGAAATGGGAAAAGTTCACTTAGCCTGACAGGATCCTCTAGAGGGGAACCCATTCCCTTCTCACACTGATGATGTTACCTAGTCTGGGTAATGAAATGTTTACAAGAAAACAAGCAAGTTCAGAGAGCACCAAGGATCCCTAATATCTAAGACATACAGATAGTCTTTATGATTACAACTGAGACTATAATTGTTGTTGTTAAGCAAGACAGTTGTTAAGTAAGTTACATCCAATTTTACCATCTTTTTTGCCATGGTTGTTAAGCAAATCACGGGCAATTGTTAAGTTAATAACACAGTTGTTTAGCGAATCTGGCTTCTATTGATTTTTCTTGTTGGAAGCTGGCTAATAAAGCAGCAAATGATGATCACAGGAACCTGGGATTCTGTAACTGTCATAAATGTATGCCAGTTGCCAAATGCCTGATTTTGGCATGTGACCGAGGGGATGCTGCAATGAGTACTGGTGTAAGTCCCATTTTCTAGTGCCATTTTAATTTCAAACTAAACAAATGGAAAACCAGAGAACCTTTTGAATATTGCATGTAATACTTTCCCTAAAATATCACAGAAGGCAAGGTGCTATGTCTGTCTGTACATTGATGCCCATGGCAAAAATGTTGAGGACCCAAGATTAGTGAATGGAATATGCAGCAAGTCATTAAAAAACAACTTTAATAATATAATAATGTTAAATGTGGCTATCACCAAAGTGAGTCCTGATACATCCACCATCAGTTTTTTCAAGGCATCCCATCAATAATTTTGGCCAAGAGAAGGGCTGCAATTTTCAAGCACAAGATAAGAAGTTTAGTTTATACCTGGTAAATTAGAAGTTTTTACATCTGCCACTAACGTGTTCTCCACCAAAAATAAGTATTTCTGATTAAGATCCCAAAGTTTATACAACCGGGGAGAAGCTTCTACTGAAGGCCTTATTTCTGGATCTGTGAAAGGAACATAGATATGCATTACACATATTATATGTGCAAACAAAGGAAACATTCTAAAGAACAATCAGAGAAAGTTAGAATGATGCATATCTCACTGAAAAAGGAATTACAAATGATTTCCCCCTTTTTCAAATGATTTATACGACTGTACTAAACAACAGTGTCTATCAAAAGCTGTTTGGTCTTGGTGGATTTCATACCAAAAAGGCAGGGGAGAATCCTTAGATATAATCTTATGCAATGTAAACTGAGAATATATCAAGGAACACGGGAAGAGACAGTGTGGAGAGTGGAAGAGATCTGGATAGTTCTAGCTATAAAGTAGGAACAGGGCCCTAAAATATGGTTAGCAAGCAGTCATAGGACTGTCTGTAATTATTGTATAACCCATAGTCATCATCAATTCCATCTGTTCTACCTTCATCCTTTTTCTTACCTATTTTTCCTATCTTCCACATCACTGTCCTTCTTCCTCCTTTCTTTCTCTCTCCATCCCTCCCTCTCATTTTATCTTCATCTTTCTGGTATTCAGTCAATCAATCAGCCAATCAAATCTGTACTGTAATCATAAACCAGCATAATTTTGCAATTCAGTTTCAAAATAAGAAAGATGTGTGCCATAATTGGACTTTTAAGAAGATCATCATAAATGGAAACTTTAAAAAACCAAATTGTTGTACAGGGATTTTTTTAAATGGAGAAGAGTGTGTGTGTGGGGGGGGAGAGACATTAGAACCCAAATTTGGGGTGTCAATGGAAGATATAGAAGACTTTCAAAGCATAGAAAAAGTAGAAGATTAATTTATGGCCATTTTCATATCTAAAACTAACTTCCTGCAAGATAAGACCACAGTATGCAAGTGAAATAATCCATGGACCATCTACAGGTAGTCCTCAAGTTATGACCACAATTGAGCCTAAAATTTATATTACTAAATAAAACATTTGTTAAGTGAGTTTGCCCCATTTTATGACTTTTCTTGCCACAGTTCTTAAGTAAATCATTGCATTTGGTAAGTTAGTAACATGGTTATTAAGTGAATCTGGCTTCCCCATGAACTTTGCTTGTCTGAAGATCACAAAGGGGGATCACATGACCCGAGGACACTGCAGTCAGTTGCTAAGTATCCAAATTTTGATCACGTGGTCATAGGAATGCTGTAATGGTTGTGTGAAAAATGGTCATGTCACTTTTTTCAGTGCCGTTGTAATGTTGAACTAAATGAACTGTTGTAAGTCAAGGACTACCTGTACTTGACATACTTACACAGTGAACTAATGAATAAAGTGAACATTTTCTGTATTTGTGTACATATACACAATATAGTGCATCTGTTCTGGTGTAGGGAACCTTCCTCCATATGGTAGTATTTTACTGTAAAAAACTGAAGATTCTATTTGAACAAATGAAGCTCATTTTTACAATGGCCAAATAATTAAGGATACACGTATGCCTGAGCAATGTTTCCAAAGCAGTAAATGAACAGAATTACGTTTTTCTCACCTGGTTCAGAATCATGAAATAAATCTGCTACATCTTCATCCCAAGTCTTCTTATGAAGCTTACTTGCCATATCCCCAACTTTTCTACTTTTTCAGGTTTCTCTACGTTCTTCAGAAGAAGGGAATAGTTTAAGTTAAAATTCCTTGCAAACAAAAGATGGAAAATATCAAACAATGTTGGTTGATTGATTTTCTGAAATACAATGTAAAAGAGCAAATAAAGTATCTACAAATGGCAAACATAAACAAAAAAAATCCAATAAACAGTTCTGTATGACTGGACTTTTGAAAATTAGACCCATCCTCATCCCTGAAGACCTGAGGAAAAGACAATATGGAAGACCAGCCACAGATACAGGGGAACACTCACATAGACCAGAAGCATTCAACTCTGGATTTTTCTATTTCCACCATCAGAGAAGGATCTAGGGCAGGGGTCCAACCTTGGCCGCTTGAAGACTTGTGGACATCGACTCCCAGAATTCCTCAGCCAGCTTTTTTGCAGCTTTGCTGGCTGAGGAATTCTGGGAGTTGAAGTCCACAAGTCTTAAAGTGCCCAAGGTTGGATCTAGGGCAGGGGTCTCCAAACTTGGCAACTTTAAGATTTGTGGACTTCAACTCCCAGAATTCCTCAGCTTGCTGGCTGGGCAATTCTGGGAGTTGAAGTCCACAAGTCTTAAATTTGCCAAGTTTGGAGACTCCTGGTTTAGGAAAACCTTTGTAGCTGGGTTTTGTTTCACTGACTGAATTCGTGGCCTAAATCTTTTTAGTTTATACATATTTTTTTCCTTTGAATAACATGTTTGCTTATTGCTGCATCTTTAAATGTGTTTTAGCTTTCTTGAAGCTTCTTGCTTAATGGAAAAGCTAAGTGGAAACCCTAAGTGCCTTCCTTCTGGGCTGGGAGCCATACTGAAGTATAGTATATGATGAAGGTAGGAATAACAGAATAACAGAGTTGAAAGGGACCTTGGGGGTCTTCTAGTCCAACCCGCTATTTAGGCAGGAAACCCTATACCATTTCAGGCAAATGGTTGTCTAATCTCTTCTTAAAAATGCCAGTGTTGGAAAATGTATAGCATTCTAGTATTCCAAACCTGCTGAAAAAGACCTACCTTTCCCTCAAAATTCCAAATCTAGTGCTACAATTTCCCCTCTTCTGAAAGGGTAAAACCAAAACCAAATGAAACCATCACCATCATTGAAATTAGGATGATTAATTATTGCTCATTATTTTTCTTTATAGTATGCTTACAGCAAATATCTGAGTCATGAAAGAGATTTTAATAGGACATTTTGAATCCAGTCGTTCCAGAATAAAAATATTCAAAGTTCTTTAAATATTGCTTGGTGGCAAGAGACTTCAGATTTCAGCACCAGTCTGATACATTTGGAAATTCGAGCTCTTTGATTATTATTTGATGTCATAAAGTTTTTAATTTTTCTTATGATTTCAAGAAGGCAGTGTGTGTTGACTTACTATAAAATGTGTTGTGAGTTGTATTTTTTTAAAAGTTATTATCTTTTTTTGCCAAACTTAGCGGACATGGTTTTAATAAGGATCCAATCTGGGTTGGTCACCAAGACCAGAGTTTTTGTCTTCCAAGCATGACTCAGAAAACCTCTAGTCCCATCGACCAACCCAGATTGGATGCTGCAACATTATCCTGGGACATGTATATTCACCTTCATTCATGGTTTTAATAAGTTGCATCCCTGCTTTAATTTAAAAAAAAAACTATTGAAATATAAGAAAGGAAAATGAAATTAGAACAAATATAAACAAGCTGTACAGATGTTTTTTTAAAGTGCTAAATAGAAAAGCAAGCTAAATATAGTTAAACCAGTAAATACAAGGGCTTCTCCAAAGTAATTTTCTTAAAAGGAGATCTAGCTGTTAATATCTAGTCTCAATGTACCAAAAGTTCAATGACTCTTGGAAAGAAAATGAAAGGTCTTCTACTCTATGGATAGTAGGAGCAGGTAGTCTAACCCAATAAATCAGGTGACAATACCTGTGGAGATGTTCCTTCCTGGGCTGGAGATTCCTTCTGTTTGATCATCTCTGGAACAGACATTTTATATCTATCAGAGGGTGTTACCTGACTTGCCCATGGATGATTTGGGAATTACCCTCATGACTCTGAAAGAGATCATCTATCACAACATCCAGCTATCCAAAGTTCCCTGTCTCTGCAGTCTTGCTTATCCCCAATGACTGATGCTTCCTAATCAAGGTTAACACCCTGACCTTGCTTCAACGAATGCATGACATCACATCTGTCCTGCTCAAATTACTCACAAGAGTTGAGTAAACAACTCAGGATCTGCTGCACTGCATTTCAAATTGTAATGCATGGTTGTACAACATCTTCTGAACAATGGAGGACACTTCTGTCCCTGGAGGGCTCATGTGGGGTCAAGAGTCACAATTCAACTTCTACCTTCCCCAGCTTCATATAATTGAATTTAGCTCATCGTCCAGAAGCAACCTTTCATTTCCTATGGTTACGGTTTGGTCACAAGCAATAAATCTGAACATTCATGTCCACGAAGGGTTTAAATAGGACTGAAACTTAGTCAGGGTGGATTGATATGATGAAAGCATTCAGTCCGAAAGCAATTATTTAATTTCATGCCTACACCCCAGTACCAAAGCCTTATTTAGATTATTGTAGGACACACAAGGAGGATATCTTATTATTTTTTCCATATTTATGAGTGATTTGAGGGAAAACATTAAATTTCTCCTTGGGACATGAAATAAAGGGCTTTAAACATGGGGCACTGCAAGTACCACATGAACTGGATATGACATTACCTAAATAAAATAAAATGGTCACAAATTGGTAGAAGTCTTCCAGCTGCATTTTTTAATTCACTGAGTTTGAGTTTATCGGCCTGAGATGTGTTTTCTTGAAGAATTCAATTTGTGTTATGCAAATGCTCTTCATACGTTCATATGTTCACTCCCCCACCCACCGCCGGCCCATGCAATGTGGCAATGTGGTGGTGGCAGTAGGCCATTCAGGGTAGCAATGTGGCAGTGGTGGTAAGACTCACTGCGTCAGAGGACCCCAGCCCTGCTGTCAGCCTTACCTTCTCAGGCCAGGTGAAGAAGAGTGGCCGCATGGGAGGCAGTTGGGTGAATGAGCATAGAAACACTCACCAGGCAGCGCAAAAAGGAGTGAGTGGGAGGGATGGGACCGGGAGGGGTGGAGCCAGTCAGTGATGTGATTTGCCAGTTTTGCAAACTGTGCAGAATCATAAAACCGGTTCTACCAAACTGGTCCGAATTGGTAGCATCCCACCCCTGCACATGTTGGATAAATAGTTTGGTGAGCATTTTTGCAGATGGGGTCTTGGAGCAGGGTACAAAGTGCACCTGCTTGGAAAATAAGTCCGTGATCACCCAAATGACTGTGTTCCCCCGTACTGTCAGGTAGATCAACAATGAAGTCCACAGATATTTCCTTCCATGGGGCACTAGGACTGGCAACACTCTGGGGTAGTCCAGCAGGCTTCCCTAGAGGCCTTTTAGCAGAAGCACACACAGGGCAACTGGCCACATACGTTTCAATTTAAGTGGGACAGGAACCAGTCATCACTCTTCAGCACTTCTTTCAGCTCCTCGTTTAAATCACTAGGAACGTCAAGGTCCGCTTTCCCCTGAGCTCTGGTGACCATCTGGGCAACCAGTTGCTTGGAGGGGATAAGTGGGTGGATGACTTCTGACTGAGCGCTATTGTACTGGGGAAATCTAGATAAAGCATCCACTATAAAATTTTCTACTAGAAACATAGTGCAAGGAGAAATTAAACCAGTTAAAGTGTTGCGCCCAATGAATTTGCTTAGATGACAGTTTCTGGGGCATTTTTAGGGCCCACCAGACAGCAAATGCTTCCTTTCAGTTTCGGTTAATTTCCTGGAGGTGTAAGCGCAGGGTTTTAAGGTTCCAGTGGCGTTTGCCTGCAATAGCATGGCCCACACAGCTACATCACTGGCGTCATCCTGGATCCCAAAGGGGAGGTCCATGTCAGGATGTTTAAGGATGGGTTTGGCTGCAAATAGCCACTTAAGTTTCTCAAAGGCTGCTTTGCATTCCATTGTCCACTCGAGGGGATGGCTTTGTTTTGGCTTAGTCTCTCCCTTTGTGGTTGATAATTTTAGGAGGTTGATAATATGTAATGCAATTTTGGCAAAGACGGGGATAAATTGTCTATAAAAGTTAGCAAAACCTAGAAAGCTTTGAAAATGTTTTCTGGTGTGTGTGGGGATGCCCACTCCATGACTTCCCGCACCGTCTCAAGGTCCATCTCTATTCCCTCATGTGATATGCAGTAATCCAAATAGTCAATTATATCCTGGTGAAATTCGCACTTTGACAATTTGGTGTACAGCTCAGCAGCTCTGAGTTTTTTTAAGATTGCATGCACTAACTTCGCATGCTCCTCCATAGTTTCGGTGTAGAATGTCATTTAGGTAAACCAGGACCCCCTTGTACAAATGCTCATGCAGCACCTCATTAATCAATTGCATGAACACAGCAGGTGCCCCTTGTAATCTAAATGGGAGCACCCTGAACTGGAAGCAACCCAAAGGGCAATTGAAAGCAGTTTTCCACTTGTCTCCCTCCTTAAAGTGGACTCTGTAATAAGCTTCTCTCAAGTCCAGCTTAGTAAAGATTTTTCCTTTGGCCAGATGAACCAACATGTCCTTCATTAGGAGCAATGGATAAACATTCTCCACACACCATGTTCAGACCTTTATGGTCCAAATGAAGAGACCCATCCTTTTTCTTACAAAATAACACTGGAGTGGCCACCTGCGGCCTAGTTGGTTGGATGAAGCCCTGCTTTAGATTTTTGTCAATTAAAGTTTGCAGCTCCTCCAGCTCTCACTGGGTCATCAAGTAGATCTTTGGTTTAGGAAGTTTCACTCCTGGGAGGATTTCTTTTTTTATATATATAAAAAGTTTTTTATTTTTATATTTTAAGAACATCTCTTTTGGTGAACAGCATGGTTCCAGGTTTTTACATTTCCATGCGAACATGACCTTAGTTACATATTCATCTTTCACATTCAGTTTCATATCACATCATTACTTTACATAATTTCTATAAATTTTCTCAAATATCCTTATATTCTTCACACTTATTATATATACTTTCTATTCATATCTTAGCTTATTTCATTTTTCTTTTAGTATTATCATATCTTCTTTATATAATGTTTAAAATTCTTATTTCTTGTTCTTTATTCATTATACTTTTATACTTTTATCTGTCATATTTGCAATTTCATCGCACACTCTTATTTTATTATTCAAAACATTCCAACCTAATTCTAATACAAAAAACCTCCCCCTTTAATTACTAATTTGAGTGTACCACCCCTTTGTCTTATACATCATTCAATTAATTCCCCTTTAATTCATAATAATGATTTATCATAATATGATCACTTTTTAGTTGTCCCTTTGTAAGTTAGTAACAATAATCTCCTAATTACTACATAACACATATACATTTTAAGCTGGATTCCACGTGGTATTTCCCCCTTAATTACTTTCTATTACATTTATTATTGGAAATACATTAATCTATTCAATTAATCATAAAAATTGATGTCAATCTTTTTATAACGATCCTCATAGTTCATTTTAACTATATTCTTAATTTTATTAAACTTATTTAGTATATTTATCATAACTTCCCAATTTCATATTTATACCAATTATATATGTGTGTAATTTAACAATAACAAATAGTCCAATAACAAAAAAAATCAGTTCCATTCTTTTCATTTTTAAAGTCTATATTTTTTTATAAATCACAACAAATTACTATTACTTCAAATACTATAATAATAATACTTTATTTGCAGTCACAGACCAAAACACAAGTACAACAAAAGAAGAACATGGGAAAATTAATCATGAACAATTGGTCACCAAAAACTTGACTAAGGGGAATTACAGTGTTCTCCTCTGATGGTTACAGCTCTTAAAAAAAATTGGAAACCAAAGAAGTGATATATAAGGAGTCATCCCCTAGACAATATAAGAACAAATTACTAACATTGGGTCTAGAAGGGTCTGTTTCAAGGAGAGACAGTAACTTAGATCTGCCTGCGTTATATATAGGGCAATATAAAAGGACATGCTCCACAGTTTCAACCTCAGCTCTATCACAGGAGCATAGCCACTCGTTAATCGGGAGCCTCTTAAATCACCCATCCAGTAGTGCTGAGGGCAAAACATTAAAGCGAGCTAGGGAGAAAGCTCTTCTATACTTGGGAATGGTTAGAGTGTAAAAATAGGAAGCCATCCTCAATCCGTAATTATTAAATTGGCTGAAGATCAGAGGGGAGCAAGTTTTGTTAGCTCTGGCTCATAGATATTGCAAGTCAATGTCCACAAGCTGTTGGGCTACCCTAAATTGGGCATCCTTAAGGCCATAATCTCCCAGGGCGTCCCCCGTAAAATCTAGCAGGTGTAATTTCTTCATCAGCTCCCTCTCCCAATGAGAAATATGAGAGTCAGCAAACACCAGGGAGAGGTAGCTACCAGGAACTGCCAGAAAGAGCACCCGAAACCACCATTTAAAGATGTTAATCCACACCATACATTTGACTGATCGAGTGCCCAGTTCCAGGTACATCGGAGCAAAACCAACACAAGGAGGAAGACCCAGAAGTTTTCTAAAAAAGACAGCCTGGATTCTTTAATATAACCCTTGAAGCACCATATTCATATGGGAATTCCGTAAAGAGTTCAAATACATTTATATTACAACACGTTATCTTGCAGAATCCCCTTCCTTATTTCTAGTCTACTCATTATCTCTATGTCTCCTAATTAAACAATTTCTTTTCATTCTTGTTTGATTTCCATATCTCCTTCTTTTCTGGTCCTTTCTCTTATTACCTCTTTTTTCTTTTATTTTTTCCCTCCATTTCTTACTCCAGTTTTTATCCCCCTCCCTTTTTAAAGCTTTCTTCTGCAATTCCCTTTTCTGCAGTTTCCTTTTTCATTGTTTGGCTTTCCAAACATTTCCCTTTTTAATTATCTCCTCAAACCTCCAAGTTTTAATTTTCATTCTCTTTTTCTTTCGCTTTGGTGTCTGTTGTTCTGTTTGTTCATTAGAGTTGGTCTCTTCTTTAATCAGCTCCTCCCCTTCTGGCATTCCTTGTTCTTTGTTCGCCAAAATCGCATTTCTATTAGTTATAAGGCAATACAGCATGATTCATTTCTTTCATGT